TTATTCTTTACAATGATGATTCTATACCGCCCCAGACTGAATGTCATGTTGAAGGTTTTATCTGAAAGTACATTAATTTTATTTAATACTTTGGTATTCTTTATAATTTTGATTGTATAACATCCCAGACTGAATATTATCTAAAAGTTTGATTTGAAAATGAGTAATAAATTAATTAAGTTTAATATTTCTTATTTAAAGTAGTTTATTTTAATATTGTGAAAAATTCATTGTATATTTATTTTGTTATGATGATTTTATACCGCCCCAGACTGAATGTCGTGTTGAAGGTTTGATCTGAACATTTAAAAATGTATTGTCAATGGACACAGCTAATTAATAATTTATTGTAAATAAAAAAACATTTTGTATGGGCTGTGGTATGTTCTATTGATAATTAGTAAAATTATTAAATGAGACATAAAATAATTAAAACATATTATGTTGTGGTTATGTTAAGTTGTTTATGTTGAATAAAAATTATTTTTATCTAAATTATATAAAATTTGGTTAACAGATTAATACATTTTTATATTTTTTTTTTTTAGAATAAATATTCGTATTGAGCATGTCAACCCATCTAAATGCCGTGATGATTTTATCAAACGTGTAAAAGAAAACGAAGAGAAAGTTGCTGATGCTAAAAAGAAGGGAATCAGAGTGAGCCTAAAACGCAAAGTAAGATAAATATTTTCTAGTACATTGTTTTTATTTATTATTTAATAAATTATGAACAGTGTTGTATACAGATAACTTAAAATTGATTTAGTTAAAGATAAAAGATAGTCTGTGAAAATGTATCTAAGATATATAATTTGTATTTTTTATGATATTAATTTATTGAATTACAAATTTGTCCATATTTAAATAGTAAACTAAAACTAACAGACAAGTTATAACATTATATTATAATTATTGAATGACAAGTGACAACAGATAGAGGAAGAGGAGTTATGAAAACAGTTAAGTGGTGGTGGTTAATAAAGAAGACTAGCATAATGTGTATTATACTGTTATATTTTTGTGAATATTATTTTTTATTAATGTGAATACTAAACTATGGACAAATTAAATTCTAAAATTTACAATATATGAAACATATATACTTATATATAATTAAACTAATTAGGGTATATAATTGCTATGTGTAACTATTGTACAATATGTAAGCCAATATAATATACATTATGCATTAATTGTGTGTGTTGTGTCTGAGTACCTACTAAGTAGTTATGTTTTACAACAACTAATTAGAGAATAAAAATAATATTTATGGCTGTAGGATGAATTAAATTCAAATTATTTTTATTTTATAACAATTTATTGGTTATTATAGATTAAACTACGATGATTTTTATTTATATTATTAATGCCAGTATAAAAGAATCGCTAAACATTTATTTATCTAAATATATTTGTTTAGATAATTAATTATTTATCTAGATAATGCTCACCGCTTATTATGAAGTGTTTAGGTATTCTAAATGTCAAATGATTATTACAGTGTATATAAAAACGTTTTTTAATTTATTTATTATTTTTTAGCCTCAAGGACCCCGTCCAGGTCACATAGTAAGAGGAACAGAACCAATCAGTCTAGCTCCTCTACCTTATGAATTCATTGCTTAATTGCTGTTTTAAATATAAATGTATAATTTAAACACATTTTTGTCTTTTATTTTTTATTATTAAACAATCCTTATTTGACACTTCTTTTAATACGATTGCCTTGAGCGGTCCTTGTAAAAAAAATCATTAATGCCATCTGTAGAGATTATGGCATTGGAAAAGATTAGTAAGTCACCACCGTATATTTTCGATTCAATTTAACTTTAATTCTTAGCAAACGAAAGGATTTTACTCGTTATCGCATGAAATCTCCAAGATGTTATGTGAATGATGCGATAATATGGATGCATTGCAAAAAAAAAATCCTCGTAGAAAGTCGCACAAGATTTTTAATAAATATTTATTTTGTTAAATTTATTTTGAGCCAATCACGTTTTAATTATCTTGGGAAAAAACATATTTATTTTCTATTATTATTTTTTATTACACTAAATGTAATTTTCATTGTGATATTGTTGCAGCGTATGTACAGAATTTGTTGGTTGTGCTCATTCATCGAGTGTTAGAGCTGTGGTTAGGTTGTTAGGTTAAATGAATCATTCTAACTAATCGATAAGTTCGATTTTGGTCTTTGATAATTTATAAACATTTATGACCATTAGCTTGTGATGACTATGGCGCTCGAATTCGTTTGTAAATACATATTTTTACTGTGACTTGATAAATTAATTTAGGTAAGTGATAAATTCGTTTCAAGGGATTTCCTTTGAAATTAACTATATTTTATAGGTTATCGTGGTTAATATTTAACAATTCAATTATGATATATTTATCATCGTTATTATAAATAATTTTTAATTTTACATAATTTGTGTAGTATTTCTTTATTAGTAGACCATGACGAAAAAGCTTTTCACGCAGCGACCCCGGTGGATTTCTTCCACTTTCCACCTGGGCCAGTTTGCCACTGGTAATGAGGGCTAGAGCCCCGAGGCTCGTTGTCTCAGCCTTTTACACAAAATTATTTATTTTATTTTGTTCCACTGTTCGTTTTCTATTTGTTTCATTCGTCTCATTCGCTGTAGCATGAGATGCAAATTTGAATATTTTTACTGTACCAAAGCAATGGTTTTTACCACTCCGTGGGGTCCGTTAGACTCCGCAATTGTTCCTCAAGAGCTCTGTTCGATTAACCATAAAATATTGAACGTAATTTAAAATAAACATATATACATACATTTTAACAAGGCTCATAAAATCAAATATGATTCACCGATAAGTTTACAAACAATATTGAAATTCCGATAAAAAAAAAATGTAATAGTTTAATTTTAGATGAAACCCATTCCCGGTCCAGATATTACCCGGCTGGGTATATTGTACATAAATAATAATGTTGATTACATATTATCTCGTTTTGAGTTTCCTCCTGGATACATATTATGTGCAATATGCTTCGTAGAACACAGACAAAACATGAATTATGAAATTTTGGGGCTCCACGAGAAAATACTACTGATAGAAAGGCTCCGTGAAAACTCGGCCGAAAAACTGAGAATCGCTGTTCTAAAGTATGTATGACTTGGCCAAATAAGTGTAAGTAAAGGGGGCCTTTAGAGGATTTCTTCCACTCTTTGCCTGGGCCGGTCCGTCACTGGGTTGTAGGCGTTTGAATACCAACATCCAGGTAATTCTTCGGTTCCGTTTGCCACGTACAGTCGTCTCTGCCTAAGTTCGACTCGGTTTCGTCCATCTGCGTAGTCGCGTTAAGGTCCACCACCGTCTTCGTTAGCTCGGCTAACGCCGAGAAACTCAAGACGGCGATGCACGTGGCATTCGGAAGACCGACGGTAAACCCGTTCACTTTCTATCGTTGCCATCGGTTTTCTTACGGTCAAATTCTAGAGATTTTCCTGCAGTCCGGCCAAGTGTGGTTCTTTTGCACAACATTAAATTCATTTTTTTTTGGAAGAAATACCGGAGCTGCGGATTGAAAAAAATAAATAAATATGGTGTTTCGAACGTAAAATTATGTTTTGACGATTCGCGCGATGGATTTCGTATGAGATACGTATTGTTTGGAAGCTGAATGGGAACAGGGCAAATGATCACTTCTGGAATTCGTTTGGAAATTTTTGTAAAACTGAAAAATATAAAAAATTTAAAAGTTCGACTAGTTAAATTAGTTTTTAAGTGGTGTGAATAAAAAATTAAACAATATCAACTATTTTTAATATGTTTTTATAGTGTTTTGAAGAAATTGTTCCAGTTTTTATTTAAGTATATTTTAGAAGAATAAAACTTTACTATGTCATGCTAAGTTATACTTGTAGTAACACAATATATATATTTATACAGAAACATCGTACCCATAGTTTGTTTTATATTAGTTGTTTATTTTATGAATTCTCCAGAATAAGTGATCGTCAAAAATATATTAAACAAACATCTAACAATATTCGCTCTAGTTCCATTATTAATTCTTACAATTTCAAATTCATTTTTTTTTTACTATATCCTAATTATGTGCTATTCTATTTTATTGGTGATATTTTATAAAATATATTTTGAATATTTTACTCACAAAACACGTGACGATGATCAATATTATAAGACAGAAACGTATATCTACAGTAAAACTTTGATTAACCATTTCTCGATTATACGTGCTTATTCTTCCGAAAATTTGTATGTACCAAAATAAAGCACGTAATAATAAACACAGTATATTGTTAAAATGCTAAAGATGATATAATAATAATTAATTTAAATAAGCAATATGTGGACTATGTTATTAGTAAATGTATGGAAGTAGTTGATATTCTTCTGAATTTTTTCTAGTAGGAAAATTTTGAATTATATGATGTCATAGATTCAAGAAAAATTAGTAGAATTATAGGTGAAGTAAAAAAAATCATTTCAGACAGCAATAAACAAAAACTGATTGCTTCAAAATTTGAAGTTCAAATGCCAAGCCTTGATAATTTTAAAACACGAAAATATGTATTTTTTTTTAATTAAAAAAAAAAATAAATAATAAAAATAAAAAAAATATGCATTTATATAATATAATTTAAATTTAATTTAATAGTAAATTAAAAAAAATTAAGTACAGTCATTGCCAGATAAATTTAGACAGTGGCGGCGGCGCTTTTCATGAAGTGTAGCCCTAACAAGTTGCTGGCAGTGCGGTGCAAAGGTCACACAGTTGGCTACGACGCGCACAGTCACTAGTTCGAACCCGGTGTGTTTTGACCGCGCGGCACACTTCAATCGCATCAACAATTTGTTTATTATAAATGTATAAAAATAAATGACTCGGCTGATCAATGACAATATTAAATAATAATAAATATGGTCATTATGGAATATACTAACATAGATGGATATTTACTCATTCGTGCCAGTATGTGTTCGTGTTCTTTTATACTGAAAACGTACGCTATAAAATAAATAGTTTTTTTATAATGAGTTCAAAAATTAAAAATCGTAAAGTTCACAGTCAAGCTAGAGCAATAATTTGGAATTAATATCGTAAAATAATTTTTATAACAATTGTTGGTTTATTGATGTATTTTTGGTAGTAATATTGAAATACGGAGAACCACTGGTTTTCCGTTGTCGCCCCGCCGTCACCGTCTCAATTTATCTGGCAACGACTGTAAAAGTCGTTCTATAAAAAATGTCGATTATTCGTGGTTTTTATTTATCCGTGTGATTCCTTCCTTCCATTATCCTGGAAAGTCGAGTTTTTACTGTATGTGTCTATGTAAATTAATCTAAAACATACGTTTTTGATATTATTTTATTTGCATAGTTATATATTATTAAACGAATAATTCGAAATCTGAGAATTCGATTTATATCTACGAATATGTTTTCATTCACTATCCCATAACATGTTTAACTTTTAACACTACAAGTCTCTACAATATTGTACGTACCCTACTATCGGTGTTTAGTATAAATATTTTGTTATTATTTTTTAGTGTTGAATTTACACTTGATGTAGTTTACATTGGTGTTAAGAACATATTCAAGGTCTTTAACTTTTTACTCAGCAGTGTTATAATATTCACGGACAAGGTGTTCAAAAATTAATCTTGACTCTCTTCTATCAAAGTTTGCGAGGACTTATATTGGACTAAACTAGAAAATATACAATTAAATGATATAACTGAACTCGTTTCAACTCTACTAAGTGTGTTAATGCACTGGTAGGTAGGTATAGAAATTATTTAGTTTTTATAAATAATTTAAACTGTGGTCATACCGTTCTGAAATTTTACAAACTCACGCACTACCTACATGTTATTCAATTTTGTGCCGCAAACTTTTGGGAGCTGTCATTATTATATATGTATAATATATGTAATGCTATTCAATGTGAACAAATACGAGACGACATAGCGAATATTATTACATTATTGTAAGATCAAATGTGAAACACGAATCATTCGTCGCTACTTGGAGACAACAATGCCAAGATGTATAAAATATATACATATTTTTTTTGTGGAAAACGGTCATTTCTATTTTGCGGAACACGCTTATTGAAAAATTGCAAGGAGAATCGAAGAAGACTAAAAAGGGTTGAAGTGGAAGAAGAAAACCTGCAGAGATGAAAAAGTGAATTCGAAAACGTCACAAAAACGTCAAGAACAAGAGTCCAAATAAATTATTATGTGTTAAGAGTCGTATAGAAGGAAAAAATAACGATTTCAAAAGATTGAAAAGTATATTGGAAAAGTATGTTGAACACGTGGGAAAACTAACAACAATTATATTTTTTAGAAAGCTGTACGAGAAAAAAGATAAACTTGTAATTCCGGAAAAAAAAATCAATCGTCATGTAAAGAAGTAAAAACGGTTTGTATTTTCGTTTATCATTCTAAATTAATAGTTTATATACGAATGTAGTGCGATTGAATGATGAAATGAAGCAGTGGCGGTGCCAGGATTTTTTTAGACCAATTGGAGGCCACCAATTATAAGGTAGAGCCACGAAAAATGATATTTCAGCAAAAAAAATATGATGTAATTACTATATTTTAAAATTCTAGTAAATTCCAACACTATGACTAAACTACTTTAAA